CATAGCAAGTTCTACATTTAAACATCTCTTGAGGTCTTAAAACCCTCAAAATCAAATAGATGGCTGCAGTAGAGTCTCCTGCCTGGAGCTCTGCTCCACCGGAGTAGAAGTCGTAAAATTCCACGGCTCTCACGCGCCACCTGCACATTCTGAGAGGCACCGCTGCCAGACGCAGGCCCTCTGACAGAGTCGGTGTGTTGACAGATGTGCAGACTAGGGATGGGGCGGCGTGGGAATCCCACACTTCACATCCCCCAGCTGTGCCCTGGGTCAGCATCCCAGGGGACAGCACCCTTCCAGCCCAGAGAGCTGGGCAACAGGCATCTCACCCGAGGCCAGGCGCTCTCAGTCCCAGTCTCCTGGGATCTCAGCGGAAGGTGCGTCTGCAGCCTCCCTTGGGTGCTCCTGCCCACATGTATAACCCGTCCAGGAAGGCAGTGCTGGTGTTCACAGCCGATCAAGACACCTCTGTAAGGCCCCTCTGCCCCCACAGGCCCAGACCCCAAGCTGGGCTCCTTTCCAAAGTTGCCTTAAAGCTGCACCTGAGAGACCAGGGGCATCTGAGCGTGGCCTGCTAGGGTTCCCTGCAGAGACTTTGTTTCCATGCCCCCTTAGGAAAGGGGGTCTTGTCCTGGGAAGCATCCCCAGGGGTCCGGGTGCCTGGGTAGACCCAGGGACCTGCTTGTCTTTGAGGTGGATGGGCACGCTGGAAAGTCAGATGTGGGCTGATCTTTTCCACTCTCTAGCTTTGTGGCCCTAGGCAGGACACTTATCCTCTGTGGGCCTCAGACTTCACACACGCAAAGGGACTGATAAAGCCGACTATCATAATGAGAGCAGCTAACATCCCAGAGCCTTGCCGTGTAGCGGGCACTGGGCCAGAACTTTCTGTGGACTCGGTCCTTGCTGCCGTATCATGAAGAACAGACTCATCAGCCCATTTTACGGATGAGGAAACCAGAGCCCTGTGAGGTGAAGTGACTTTCCCGAGGTCGTACACAGGAGCCACCTTACTGGTTTGCGTAAAGGGTGGGAGGTGAAGCCCAGGAAGTGCTGGGTACAAAGTCAGTCACCTGCAGCAGTAACGCCAGCCTGGCTGGGTCGGGGGCAAGCCCTCACTTGAGCTTGGCCTCTTGCTCCTGTGTGTTCGGCTCGTAGTGAAGGAAGTCCCAAGTGGATATCTTTCACCTGTCACCCTTTACCCTGGAAGGCAGGTCCTGTCCTTGCAAGTTTGCAGGAGGATGAGCTTGTTTGGGAGGCCCAGCCCAAGTGTGAGAGGAGTTTGGAACTGAAACTCGTTCCCCTCCCCCGCAGCCTGGACTGTCTCCCCTCTGCCTTTCCCTGGGAAGTGAGGGTGTGCCCTTCTACACAGGGAGAGTACTGTGCCAGGCGGTGCCCCCAGCCGCTGACTCACTCCAGCTGGGTGTGGGGGCCTGGAGGGCAATGCCCTGCACTTGGATTGGTGGGGGCCGTGTACACCAGATGACGAGGTCACCTCCTCCCTCTCCTGGCTCTGGGACCAGAATTGGTCTGGGGAGCTGACCGAGGAGCAGATTCACAGGCCCAGAGCCCTTCTGGGACAAGGCCAGTGACCCAGTGTCTTCCTGGGGCCTCTTGGGAATGACCCTGCCCCCTTCCTTGGGAGAGTGTTGGAGGGAAAGCCTTCCCAACTGTGGTACGGGTGGAGGAGGGGGACCGCCAGCCTCCCTGTCCCCTCCTGCCTGGGAAGTCTTCCCAGCTCCTCTGGGCTTTAACAAAAAGCTCTCTGTGCCCTGTTTACCCACTGCCTTGCCTGCTGCCACCACTCAGGTGTGGACGCCAAATCTCTGGAGGCTGTACTGGGGGCTGGTGCATGCTGGGTGGTCTCCCTCTGGGACTGAGGGGGTAGCATGTCGTTTCTTGAACTCCTTTTCCCTCTGTGAGAAGCATCGGGAGGAAATCAACAACAGGAACCAGGCTTGACACCTATGGAGTGGCCCTGTGAGCAGAATGCCAGCTCTCCACCATCAGCCTTTCCTGGGGGCCTGAGCCGGGAAGGTCTTCAGAATTATGGCCGTGTGAGTCCCTGGAGGTTCCCAGGGGACTCTGAGTGTCTGGTCTGTGCCACAGGTGTTT